ATGGGTGTCTTATTGAGATTTGATTAACAATTGTACATTTGCCTTTAAAATATACACCATCGTTGCGTGGACGAAAGCAATATAGTATATAAACTTATCAGAATGCAAAAAAAATATCCAACTTTTAGTAGACAACAATCATTCAGTGAATGGTTAGCGCACGGCACATACAGATTTTTAGGATTTCTTTTGAGAATTTATGACTAAACATCGGTCCTTTTTCCTTTCATACTGATTGCGTTATCGTATATTTGGTCCCGACAATTTGAAAGATGTAGAAAATCTAGCAAGCAAGAATCCAGAAGAGAGTTCCACAAACGAAAAGTGCAAGAGCAGAAACTGTTAGCATACAGGGTGTTCCAAAAGTCTCATTGCCATTGATAACCTTGTAAATTTTATATTTATTTACAAAATGGAATTATGTTTCTGTATGTGACAATACATTATTAAGAAATTTTATTAGTCGAATTATGGAAGATCATGCCTTGCAAATTTTTTCCTGGTTGCTATTTCAAAAGTGTACGCTTTCTGCAAATTGTTGCATGACATTTGGAACAACATGTAAAAATTATGGTTACATGTAGCAATTACAAATTTAGGAGACCTAACCGCCAATCTAGTACTGAGGTAAAATTCGTAAAGTGTAGATGCCAAAAAGGAAAGCTCGTCAGAAGAATTTTCATGAAAATATTAGAAAAAGCTCCATGACTGTGGTGGGGGGGATGCCTGAAACCGAGATGCCAGGACCGATTATATTGAAGATTCTTTGGATTTTCTTAAGAATTTCTAAATATATAACAGATGCACCAGACTAGATGTGACAGCTATATTCTACGTATAAATGAATGGTAGATTTTATAAACGTGTAAGACGGTGGAGTAATGGATAGCGGTTCGGATTGAGGAATCGGAGAGCCGAGTTCGAATTCCAGTCGTCCTAATACCCTTAGAAAAGGTATGACTCTTCTTCTTCTCACCTCCGGCTATGGATAAATAGAAAAATAAAACAGGTCTAATGCAGAAAGAAATAGCAGCCTACTGCGGGAAAAAAAAAATCTGCCTCGTCAGTCATGTATCGAAAGATACTTGATCGCTTAAGCGTGTATTACGCATGGCACATAACTGACTAAGCCAAACCAAAATAAATTTCCAAAAATTGCAGCAAAATAAGGCCCGATCAAAATCTGGTCTATCATCAATAGTTTGTCATCGGTAAACCACTGAACAGCATCCAGTGTGGACCGCGTTTCATTAAAACTACCGCAGCCATTTTCCCAGCAAAAGACTGTGCGCAAAAGCATCTACCTTAGAAATGCGCAAAAGTCCATGTTTTTCTTTAAGGAAAAGATTCCTTCTATAATTAAAAAAAAAAAAAAAAAAAAAAAAAAAAAAAAAAAAACTGAAGTCATGTTAGAGCCGAGAAAAAAGTGTCTTCCACAAGATGGGGAACCAACTTTTCTAGCAATTGACTCAATATAATCTTTCCACTTCATATCAGCGGAAAACGTTAGACCGAGAAATCACTCACCTGGAGGTTTGTGTCAGCCATGCTGATGGAAGCCCACCCCCCAAGTTCTTTCACACGATAAAAAGAGAGCAGTTTCGTTTTGGAGATTAAGTTTCTGAATATCTTTCTAAAATATATAACCATAATCAGAATCTATTTTCCGAAGAGTAATCCAGAAAAGAGGCAAAAAAATTCAAACCTTTAGAATTGTGTTTCTAATGCCATTCATATGTTCTTTTTTACGAATCGTTGTTCGTTGTTGCAGGAAACCCTGAACTGACTGCGAAAAAGCATGAATAATGTTGCGGCTTTCACACTCAAGAATTTGTCGAATTCTGTCGAGGAATATCTCATATTTGTTTAATTCTTTCAAATCGCATTTTTCTAACAAAGCACAAAAAAGTGGTTACGTTCATCGCGTTTCGCTGTGCTGGTTCATGTTCTTGAAAAATCTTGAACTGTATTTCTTGGAAAATGTCATTTCTCACAAGAGCCAATTCTAAATATTCTTTCTCAGGCGTAACTTTAAATTTTAAAAAAATAACGAGGAGAGACAGCGTGTTACATTGTTGTAGTTTTTTTTTCGTTTTGATTTCTTACGATGCGAATTAAATATTAGAATTGAATGACTCTTAAATTCAATGAAGTTTTAGAATTTGTATCAAATCAGCGAATTTAGCAAAGGCTCTGTTTTAACATTTTTGCACTAGTTACATCAAGCCATTTTCAATGTCTACTTTTCTCCATCACCATTTTACGTCCTTTTATGTTTTTAGGTATAAAATGGCGATAGCTTAATTATTTGAAATGATCCAATCAAATTATGCTTTCATTTCGTGTTTTGTCTCTATTAGTTTTCGGTAATTTTTTATGATAGTTTCATTTTTAGACAATGGAAACATTTGGCATTGTTTCAGACATTATGGAGTTTTACTCAACTGTGCCAATTTATTGGGTTGGGTTGGTAGAATGTACGACATATAAATACTTGTTGGGTCATTTAATATCGAAATGCTTTTTAATTAATTTATTTGAGTCTATAACGATTCGCCAGGCTAATACTTCCGTCTATCAGTAAACATTGGTCGGATTAATACTTGTCTATATGAGTAAATAATGCTCAGGGTTGTACTTGAGTCTGTACGTAAACAATGGCCATGTTTATACCACAGACCGTCAACATTCACGATCAAGAGTCCTGTAATCCATTAAAATCGTACAGGCAAAACATGTGCAGCCGTAGCAGAAGCAAATCTTGAGCAAGATAGTCTGACGAAGTCCAACCCTTTTCATGCTGGCTTAAATTCCTCGTAGACTGGCTGCTAACCAAAGCAGTTTACCGAAAGAAGATATATGTTCATACATAGTGTTATCTGAATATTCAGATAATTTTAACGAATTAATCAAATTTTTCATATGTGAATTTAACGTCTCTCATGTCTCTTTGAATATTTTATATGACAACTGACATCTTTGTTTATGACATCTTTGTTTATAACATCTTTGTTTCGTTTGAAAGAACAAATTAATTCTTAAATTTCTCTTAAATGATGTCTTTTACTTCATAATATATGATAAAAGTATAATTTTAAGGTATGCCCAATTTATACTTTAAAATGATCAATATCACGAATAGAACGTATGTAATTATGAAAGTGGACAATAGTATGAAGATTGCGTTCAACACTGAAACAGAGTGTCGCTGCTCAGTATTGACCTCAGTGTCCGATATATATATATATATATATATATATATATATATATATATATATATATATTCACCTGTCGTAGCTATGCAATTCTTGTACATCATGACCAACACATCACAAACAACCAAAATAGGTGAAAGTTTGTGCAGAACAAAGCTCACTTATTTGAATAAATCTGCCTCGTCAGTCATGTATCGAAAGTTACATGATCGCCGAAGCGTGTATCACGCATGGCACAATTAGAGAGATCGTCGACCTTACATAAGTTGATTAATTTGTTACATAAAATCCCAACCTGATAAGCCTGACTGCATATTATTTTAAATTTCTTGATTATCAGGGAGCATATCGCTATGAATTAATGTTCAAGTTTTTATTTATTTATTATTTAAATGACAGTGATTTTGATCCTCCATGTGTGCTACAGGAGGTGCCTTATTCATCAGATGCCGCAAAATCCTGAAAAGATATGGAAGGATTTTGCCAAGAATAATAAAATATATCGTCTTTATTTTACATATTAATGTAATTAATATTTACTATTTTAAATAAAAAAGGGAAGATTGCAAAAGGCACTGAAGTTATTTACTGAGAATGGAAGAAAATTATTGAAACGACGAAATTATGAAAGATGAAGAGATTGGAGACAAAATATAGTGTTGCTTTGTGTTACTTAAACCGAATAGAAATCGGACATCACCGTGGAGTAATGAATAACAAACTTTTCTAATAACTATTCTGCCACACAGATCAAAGCTACAATTTTAACATGTTCAAGGTTAGGGTTAACCAGTATCTTCCTCTCTTATACAGACAAATAGCCTTCAAACTATCTCGAGTGGCCCTCTGGCCTTGTAAAGAAGGCCGGAGCGTACAACGGCCGAAAAAAAAAATCAACTTCTATTTTATTCACATTTAAAATAATCTTTCGTTAAATATGTAAATCTTTAGCCGTTTTTTTTGTAGTCTTTTTTATTGATTATAAGATTTTATTGTAATTATAATGATTTC